GAGGGAGAGAGAGTGTGTGTGTGTGTAAGCTGAACCCAATCCTAGTTTAAGCCCTAATCCCCCAAGCCGGCACTTGTCTACAGCGATCTTATAATCCCTAGTAGCAATGCTATGACATTTGGAAACCCATCCGAGGCTTACGCAAAGACTGACTAGCTCGAGCTTGTGATCGATGTGTCCTGGATTTTGGTGTCTATACAGTTCCAGCTGAGCTGTTCGATGTGCATACCAGTGACGACGGGTTCTAGGGTTTCAGTGTGTGAGGCAAGGCCCTCGAATCACGCTGGGTGGGGAGCAGGGCTACAGTCCTGCAAACGGGGTTTTCTGTTCCAGCAAAGATCCTCGATCCGGATCATGAGCATCAGATCGCATCCGCATGAGATTGAAAAGGGCCAGCTAATGCTGAAGCTGCCTAAACCATGGGTGTGATCGATGTCTGTCTGACACTATGCAAGCCCACGTCTACCTCAGCTAGAGCTAGGGTATTCCTGCGTCACCAACAGCATGGAAGGACTTCAGATGAGTGAAGGCTGGGCTGTCCGAGCCTCGCTTGCTGGTGCGCCCTCCCCCAGAGCCGAGTGGTTCTCGCTGTCGCCTGCAGCATGCACTTTAGAGGTATTGGTTGTGCCTGTTGCTTGCACGTGGGTTTTGCTCCAGCTGCCTCAGGGTGAGTAGGGCTAGCTATAGTTTTTAGCTTTTGCAATGGAGAACACATACTCCATGGTTGTCAATTTGGTGCAACTGAATGCCCCCAAAGCCACTCAGCTGATCAGATCGATTATGCCATGTGCAATCGACTCCTTTCTGTGTTGAGCATGCAGTTGTTGCAAGATACAGTCGGCTGTACATCTATGACATATCTGAGGTCTTCATCGCGACAGCCAGAACCTTGGAATGCTATTCTCTATTCTATATCCACTGTAGATCTACAGGGTGTTCTGGCCTGGTGATTGTGGTTGTGTTAAGGTGCTTTGTCTCAGATGGATGAGCAACCTGGCTTTCGATGAACGGTACACATTCTGCGAAGTGTTTGCTGGGATGGGCCATGTGTCGGCTCTCTGGACACTAGGCTTATAATATGGTCTGCCAGCATGTCAAGTCATGGTAGGGGCTCCAGAATTTAAGTATATGCCTGCTAGGAAGGACAACGGCCACACCGTTGCTTCGTATGATCGCCTCTACGACGACAAGTCTATGGACTTTGTGTCTAGTGCTGGCTTTGGGTTCTTGTCCTGCATTAATTCTCCATATGCACTTCAGTGCCTGCTGCATTCCTGGCCAGTAGGCTCAATGTATCTGAGGCTTGCTTTGTATGCAGTACTTTGTCAAGTACCAGATGCCATGAACCTCATTGCCCCGGACTGTGGATCACGGGTAACCACGAGCCGTGGAAGCAGCCTTCGATCCTTTATAAACCCTTTAGGCCGCCAAGGGCTGCAATGGGTCGATGACAACAATTGCGCAGTTTCGCGGAGCATTGACTGCATTTAGGGTTCAATGTCTTGGCAACAGTATATCTAGCTCTATTTGGGTGGAGACTAAGGTGTGTGCTTTTGATTCTTCTTATCCTATCCAAGCATGGTGCTTGGGTGTTGGAACAGCCAGAGGGATCTCTGTTGACAGAGCACCCCCGATGGCAATGGCTATGCAATCGTGTTGCCAAAGAAACCTACCTGCACGTAGGGCTTGAGAGCTTGGGATGTGGTTTGAGACTTATTGATGGGATCGAGAAAAAGTCTAGGTCTACAAACAAAGCTTCTGGATGGGCCACCATGGTGCCACCTCTCCCAAGAGAACATATGTATTGTCATCGATGCCTACGATTTCAATGCTGGATCTTGGTGTGATGAAGAAAGTCCAGAAAGAGGCCATGCCATCCCGAGGTCTGGTCCGAGCCTAGACTTTCATCCTAAACCCCAAACCCTTAACCTTAAAACCCCGCCCAATCCTAAAACCCAACCCAAAACCTAAACACTAAACTAAACCTGAAACCTAAGCCGTAACCCAAGCCCTGGCCTAGATACACAACTCGACCAGAACCCTAAACCCCAAAGCCCCAGGCTACTCATACTTATATGTATATCTATCCCTCTGCTAGCCTTCTCTGCCCTGATGTAGTAAGCCACGCGATCCCAGGTCGGTACATCGACAAAACCGGGAGGAAACGTTTTGTGGGCAAGCCAGAGGCACTGAAAGATTCGGGGAATCGTGGCTAGTTCTTAAAGTTCCTGTAGAGGTATAATAGTGTTGGTGGGTTGGATGTAAACTAGCTAGCTCTATATATAGAAAACCTGAGCCCAGGATCTATACCGAGATCTTCGCTAAGAACCTACTGAAGGCTTTCCAAGAATGGTGCAAGCTGCCTCCTGCGCACCGCGCAGATATCCGGGCACGTAGGTCTGTAAACCTGGACAACAGTGACAAGGAGATATTTGCTTCTTTACCTACCGGGGATCTTTGGCTGGATGCTCGTGTCCACGAGACGTTCCTGTACCTCTATGGGTCCAAGAACTGTGTGTGGCTTGTTGCATCTAGATCGATATACAGCATGCCAAGTGATCTGAACGTAGGCTCCCCCGGCTACCTGTGTTACACTAAGGATACCTGACAGCTGGGTGGGTGTCATGGAGAGTTTCAAAGACGATGTTGTCCAGAAAGCACCTAGCCTTTCTAATTTAAGTTGGATTGTGCATCTATACAATTTATTCACCTTTCTAAAAATGTGTTCTGAGGCTTGTGGAGATGAGCGCCTCCGCTCTGAGCTGCAAGAACTGCAAGTTTGCTCCGAAGCCTAAGGGGTACTACTTTAGATAGGATCGATATTTGGGGTTTTGGGGAACTAGTAGAAGGATTTCTTAAGGGTTTTTACCAGAGTAGGATCAAGGGTCGTGTCTAGGGGGAGTAGGAGGCTGTAGCTCTAGGGGAAGTAAGAGGGTTTGGGTCTATTCCGAAAATCCCAGGATTATGTAGAACCCTGAAGCTCAACATGCCCCATCTTACAACCCAGCAATCATCAAATATAGAGCTAGTGTTCCAGTAGGGTGGTGGGGGTTGCTCTTTAATGGGGCTTCAGATGGGCTTAGGTGTCAAGGTTGGTACGGTGATCAGGCTCCTCGTGTAATACCGCCACCACTACTGTTGCTGCTGCTACTACCACTCCTGCTGCTGCTGCTGCTGCTGCTCTTACTACTATTAACTGCTACTGCTACGTCTACTGCTGCTGCTGCTGCTACTACTACTACTACTACTACTGCTGCTACTGCTACTGCTACTGCTACTGCTACTGCTACTGCTACTGCTACTGCTACTGTTCTACTACTGCTGCTACCATCACGACTACTACTATATACTTACTGCTACCACCACTACTCCTGTTGATGCTGCTGCTATTATTATATGACTACGACTACGACTGCGACTACTACTACTACTACTACTACTACTACTACTACTACTACTACCACCACTACTGCTGCTGCTGCTGCTACTACTACTGCTGCTGCTGCTGCTCCTACTACTACTACTACTACTACTACTACT